CCCCCCCCTCACCCTCTCTCTCTCGCGCGCGCATGTGTACGCACTTAACCGCTACCACCCGATTCACCGAGGCGATGGAGGTACTATTATTGACTCTTAACCGTGGACGTTGAAGTATCAAAATACAACACAGTTCAACACAGCCGAGGTGTGCGTTTCTCCCTGCGTAATAGGAGTTTCTCGGATTAATAAGCACGCTCGTCATCAGCCTCTTGTCAGCCGTTCGACGACTTGTAAGAAACACGATCGAGATTTCGCATTCTCCCTCTCCGTTCTCCCCCATCCTTTCCTCTTATGTTACGGCGAGAACGCGTCTCCGAGGGAAGCTTTCCTCCCGATGTGCAGAGTCGATGCTCCATTAGGACACGATGTAATCCGCGGAGTGATGCGAATGATGCGAATTCCGGTGCTTGTCCCTGCGATGATTCGTTCTGGAGTTGCTGCCGCGGGTGCCGCTGGTGCCGGTGGTGCCGGAGGTGTGGTGGCTGTAGCCGCTGTCGCTGCCGAAGCTGCTGTCGGGCTGACCCTGGTAGAGCCTGCCGGCGCTCACCTGGTCCGAGTCCCGGGTGTTGGAGTAGTACACCGGCTGGCTGTATTTGTCGTCGCCGAAGAGTCGGTCGTTCGGCTGCGAGTACGTGTCGGAGTACTCGCCGCCCACCTGGGTGTAGAGCGGCGCGGTGACGTCGGGTTGGCCCTGGAGCCCGTAGTAGTCGCCGCTGTACTGCTGTTGCTGTTGCTGCTGCGACGACGACAGGTACTTGTACTTGTCGCCGGACTTGCTGCGCGAGCGCTCCTTGCCGTTCTTGTTCTGGCTGGAGTAGCGGTGCAACGGACCCAGTACCGGCACGCTCTCGTAAGGGTTCTCTTCGAGCCGCGGGGCCTGCGCGGCTGGCAACGGCGGCACGAAATACGGTAACCTGTGCGCCACCGATGGGACGGACTGTTGGCGTTGAGTGCTGTTGCCCGTGCGGGCACCGGCTACACCTGAAAATGAACACGCCAGTCAGTTCGCTCGGAAATGTATCTTACAACAGATTGCCTTCAGCACAGAACATTTCTCGGGTCATCCAACGAGTCATGTGGTAGCCATATATGTCCCTTCCTTATGAATTTTTCCCGTGACATGCCACTGGAGTAACGACGTTTTCAAATGTTTTCTATCGTCCGGGACTTTCTCTCGCATCAAAATCACCGTTTCGAAAGCGTTCAAATCAAACTCTACATGTTCTCTCCGATAGAGTTTCATCACACACTTCGAAAAGCGATGCGTTTCAGCGGTTTCCTTGAGATCGAAGTAATGAAGAAGCACGTGTGAGAAAACAGCTTATCGCGATTCATTTTCAATCGACTGGAAAATCTCTCTGGCGTCGAGAAATCTAACCTATGAGGACCGAATCGCCTTCAACAATGTTTAAACTACACAAGACATGCGACTTCACCGTCGAAACTCGCCAGCGTTGGAGCCGGCATCCTCTAGTAGCCAGCGGCGGGAATTAAATTTATCACTTAATATTTTTCCTAAAACGACGGGTTTTCCCCAAAAAAATCAAGGAAAAGAACTAATTTTTTCCTAAAGGATAAGTGATAATACAAATCTAACGGAAGGATATAATTGTTCTTAGATAAAATGGAGAAGAAAGTGATAAAATAAACTCAGTTTGGTTACCTGCGACGCTAGGGTAGAGTTGAAGTAGCGCGTCCAGCAGCATACCCTCGTGGAACTCGCCCACGTCATGGTTCTTGTCTCTTCTGCGTCGGTCGAGGCTCCTGGGGCTCCTGCCGCGTCGTTCGCGCGGTGGCCTGCCACCGGCTGGACATGTGCCCCAGGTAGGGCCGCTGTTCGAGGTAAGCATTCTTGCCTCGGAGGGTTCGCCCACCGACAGTTCATCCTCGGCGAACTCGTCTTCGCTCGCTGGCTTCGACGTGGAGCCCCGGTGATGGTGACGGTGGTGATGATGGTGATGATGCAGACGATTGCGGGCGTTCAACTCGCTCTCCTCGTCCGTCTCCGGATGGTCCCCTGCGAGATCGATCAGGACGAAATTCATTAGCTCAAGCGCAACGGACAGGAACGGTCGGGAGATCAGTCGCGGGTCGATCTCTTCGGCAATCGGAGGAGGATCGGCAGCAGTTAATTAGAAGTTAGACAAATAGCGCGTTCTTGGACGAACGTGCTATTGGAGCTAATTACAGTGAGAAGAAAATTTTTGCTATTTCTAACCATAATCGCACAAATGAAAGAATTACAGTCAGAGGAACCATTTTTCGAGCAAATGTTACTACAGTGTCAGTGACAATCTTACATGCGTATTACTATTATTATTTGTTGAATTAAAGTCAGAAGATATCGTTGAAGCCGAAAATGACGATAATTTTGAAGGGATATTCTTATTTAAAACGTCGTTTTGTGATTTTTAGAATTCTTTTTTTGGAAAAAAACTCTAAGACAACTCTGAAGTTTTGTACTAATATTTATTTATATTTTAACTATATACAGGGTTTTCCATTAAGAAATTTCATTTTAAATTATTAGAAAAACAAAGTTTCTTTTTGAAAAAATGGTAATATTTTTATTCCAATGCAGATCGTACGATTAAGTGTGGAACACGATATCTGATGAATGGCCGCTTCGACTTTTTTTTACAAATGGTCATTTTTTGGAGGAAATCTCGCATCACATTTTCGCATAATTGCGGCTCGATTTCGTGAATAACACTTTTGATATTATCTTTGACATCTGCATAATTTAACGGAAGTCCAAGAAAAGGCCCCTTGTCGAACGAAGCAAAGAAATACTCAAAAAATGCGATCACGGTCGGTCTAAAGCAGTGTATGACATCATAATAGGTGGCGAATCGTGGATTTACTGCTATAAATCGGAAAATAAGCGACAATCGAGTATATGAATGTTCCCAGACGAGGCATATTCAACAAAAGTGAAGCGCAGCCGAAGCGTTGGCAAGAAAATTATTGCCTTGTTCTTCAGGAAAATCGGTCTTGTATTTTGTTGTGCTTAAAATTCATCGTACAGTTAATGCTGAGTGATACATAACAATTTTTGTTTGCAAATTGTTTGAAAAAATGCAAACATCGCAAAAACACCAAGATCACGCATCATCTAGCACCAATTCGCGCAGAAAAAACAAACAACGCAGAGAAGACAATTGAATTTTTGACCACTACCCGTGTACAATTGACGACTCATCCGCCTTATGCCGAAAATAGCTAATTTTAGTGGGATTTCTCTCAATATATGTGATCAATAATTTTCAGCTGAGAATATTCGAAACAATGATGACAGATCGATACCGTACAAAAGAACCTTTAATCATGTAATGGAACACAATCTAACGAGAGTTGTTCGAATTATTTCTTGCGTTTTTGTACGATTATTCTTTCGATGATAAGAGATTCTATATTTGACAGGCGCAGTTTGAGCCGGGTTCTGTAGATTCCGCGACTCGTAGTTTATCCTCCTCATCGAAGTGATCGTTGAGCAGATACCGGCGCGATACGTAGAATTCCCTAACGTTTTTACAAGCCCGCGAGGGACAAGACCACCCTCTTCGAAATCGATGCTCGCGTCTCGAAACTGGAGAACGTCGACGCGCATGGCATATGTATACACGGGCCCGGGTCCGTGGTTGCAACTAATGCACGCGGTAGAGCATGTATATTCGATTACCGAGACCTCGTCAAACGTCAAAAGCCTCATCACCATACTAATTAGCCGTCTAACTAATGGGAAGTATAAGTCAGAGGTCGTGTCACGCTTATATCTCTTCGGTAAAATTCACGACAGTGAAGAAGAACGGAATAACTGGAGGGGCCGAAGGGGGAGGGGATAGAGAAAGGAGAATCACTAAAAGATCACAGTAGGAGCGAAAGATGGAATCATGTTTGTCGAAATCTGATTCGCGCGTTTTCACAGTGATCGCTCACAAATGGATAGAAAATTAAGAAATTTTCGGGAAAAAATCGATCTTTCACGAGGATGAGTGAATAATTATCTGCATTTGCAAAAAATTACAAACCGGTCGTTTGACCAGTCGTAGTAGGTTTAATGTTAACAGATTCGTGGACTTTTCTAGACGCTTGTTCCCACTTATAAGCACCGCTGCCCATTCATCGCCCTACGAATGTGCCCCCTTGTAATTCTATCGACGTCCGACTACGGCAGTTCCTTCTCTGCACACTTTTAATTTCGGATATTTGTTGGAGCCCGCATGTAGACCTCGGTAGACTGAACCTTCCGATTTTCACGCGGATTCTCAGTTCCAAAATTCTTTCCACGAATCTCCTTAAAAAGTTCCATCGACTCTTTTTGTTCCATAAATCTCTCCACGTGCGCCATACATCTTTTCGTAAATCGCGACATACACGAATTTGTCGGATTATTTTGATAAATGTAGTCCCGCTCTGCAGCAAGACCGGCAGGAGGGACACATACGGTGTCATAGGGCCGAAAGGGACAAGCAAACGAGGAAGCCTCGCAAAGGCGGCGCGTTAGTCGGCGGATTTCACGCTGTTCAACGCAGCCGTATGTTAATCGTGTGTTAAGCCAACCGGCAGGCACAAACACACCGTTTCGAAAACTCGTGTATACGCCCTACCTATATGTTTCCCGTGGGCATGTTCGACCCCGAAGATGCTCCTCAGCGTCTTCAGAGGCGAGTCTCATCTAAAAGGAGAGTGCGTGATTTGCGTTTGCATGGGAATAGTTTGTTTCGGCGCGTTATTCGAGTGGCACACAGGACGATATTTCGGCAGTTTTGCCAATGATCCATTTATTTATTGTACATATCGCTCGTTACAATCATTCATTTATACTTAGGTTTGTGTCCATATGTGTGTGTGTGTGTGTGTGTGTGTGTGCGTATGCGTGCGCGTGTGTGTATGTGTGCTCATTCTTTTTCTTTTTCTATTAAGCAGTTTCGAGGAAATTATTATTAAAAGACTACCACTGCAAATCCGAGTGTATAATAAGTATATATCCTCATGTGTATAAAATTATGCATTTATGTATGTGATTTGATTTTCCATGTAAAAATTGTGTGCACTTTCTCAAGCTGAAAAAAATGGCTATGTTCAAATTAATATTTACTAAGGAGTATTGTAGTAATTTATTTTATTTGAATTAAGTAAATATTACTAGAATGTAGCACTTTTTTTTCGCCAGCGTGTTACATTCAAGTAATACTTAATCCAAATGAAATAAATTACTACAATATTCCTTAGTAAATATTTTCTTGAACATAGCAGTTTTTTTTCAATGCACATAAAAAATTAATTTATATAAATTTAAACGTATAATTTAACACAATTCATCATATACCGTACCATATATAGTACAAAGTATACCGTATATAGTACAAAGTGTATAAAAATGAAAGAATATATGTTTCCAATTAATGAAAATGCGAAAAAAATACACTTATAAAACAACTTTACACATTTAGATTCTCTTACACATAAATTTTAAGGAGAAATGTGTATTAAGTTGAG